CATGTGCGTTTCAAAGCATTCTAAATTATCGACACTTATACTTTGGTTTACCTTACCTTTTACATTCACAACATGCACATTATTTCATATGAACAGTTACTGCGGATTGCGGTTGAAAGTTTAACGGAAACATTGTATGCGTTTGTGTTGACATTTCGTGTTGTTGCTAGGCAGCGGAGACAATGTTCTGCCACTTATAATATATAAGATAAAATTACTCCATTGTGATTGGCTAAGAGCAGTGCTGTTAACTAACAACACAGCGGAAAAAAGAAATTTGTACTGCAGTGCAAATTATAAATTGTTAGTAAAATTTCATGTTTATTAATTATGAATAATAATTTCGAATTAATTTTCACTCGTGTTTTTCAAAGATCTCAAATATCTTTTGAAGCTTTTTGAAAAACCCACTTGTACAAATAATTCCAAATTGCATTTGAAACGATATGCTCATCTATACTAATTACACGCGTTTAAGGTGGCTGGACCCCCTCGCGCTTGACCGCTACCTTCCACTTTTGGAACGCTGGTGCATAAACGTGTTTTATCCGATTGCAAATCTTTTTTGCACATAAGTCACATAAAGGTTGAATTAATGTTTGATGCAGTTTTTAGTGAGATCGGACGTCATAACACGTGATTATGATGAAATATTTGTTTTCGTTTAGAAAATAATTTTAGCCTTGCAGAGCGTTCAACACTAAAATGCTTCGTACCACATAATTATATACTGGATGCCTTCATTTGTAGGGATTTTTGAAAAAATCTATCTAGCTAATTATGAGATATTTGAGATCATTTAAATATAGTGCATAATCTACTTCAAAACTAAACAATGGATTTCATACGGCCGAAATTAATATTTCAGAGCTATGTATTCACAAAAGTTATTGCTCATTTAGTTTTACTCTGTATCTAGTTTGAAAAGGAACATTTTGAAGGTAATCGACTTATGCGATTTTGTGAAAACGTATAGTGCAGTAGACGGGGTAAACCGTATGAAATCCATTGTTTAGTTTTGAAGTAGATTATGCATTATATTTAAATAATCTCAAATATCTCATAATTAGCTAGATAGATTTTTTCAAAAATCCCCACAAATGGAGGCATCCAGTATATAATTATGTGGTACGAAGCATTTTAGTGTTGAACGCTCTGCAAGGCTAAAATAATTTTCTAAACGAAAACAAATATTTCATCATAATCACGTGTTATGACGTCCGATCTCACTATAAACTGCATCAAACATTAATTCAATCTTTAGGTGACTTATGTGCAAAAAAGATTTGCAATCGGATAAAACCCATTTATGCACCAGCGTTCCAAAAGTGGAAGGTAGCGGTCAAGCGTGAGGGGGTCCAGCCACCTTAAAGTCTAGTTAGTTGAAAGATGTTGCTAGTTAAAACTAAAGAGTTTTACACTACTACACGTATTTGTTAAGCAAAGTAATGGGCGATAAGTCCACTCCTTCGTCGTTTTCGTCAACAGTTAACCTTACAGCCAAAGGGCATAAAGACGGTATTATTTAGGTTGTTATTGGATTTTTGGCTGTTTCAGTATTCGGTTAATTAAATCAAAATGAATTTCAAATTTCAAAGAGCCGCGACAAGCATGTACACATACTTGCAAGAACGTTGACATACAAGAATAGAACATTAGTAATTTAGTGAGAAAGGAATACATTAAAAGACAAAAGAAAAAGTTCAGCTTCAGTGATCTTCTTTTGTTTTTTAATATAATTCCTATCCCACTAAATCACTAATGTTCTATTTTCGTATGACAACGTTCTTGCAAGTAGGTGTATATACTCTATGTTTGTCAGTTGGTACCTTGGAATCTTAGTCAAGCTCGATCATCGTTGAATGGCTAATGAAATTTTGCTCTGTTTCGACTGTTCATCATTTTTTATCGTCTCGACGTCCCATATAGTTAGAGATGTGGATTCATGTTTCAGAACACTAAACACTCAACCGCAATCCCCTGTAATCATTTTTCTAAAACGGTCTGAATAAATATTTCGATTGATGAAAGCTAAAGCTAAGTATTTGAATAAAATTAAAAACGAATATAAGTTTTAACACAGCATTATTAAAAGTCCATTTTCAAGGTTATCTAAAATTCTTTCGTCAGGTAACGTTCATAATTCATAATTTTTTTTTTTAAAGCTTGTTCTATAGATTAAAAAAGCGTTTCATTGGTGAAAATTAAATAAAGTTTTCTTACACAAAATCTAGTTTTCTTATGTCTTGTTTTTCAAGGAAATTTTTTCCTCGTTTTTGTCCTTTATTCCTTCTATCCGCTTTTCTCCATCCTCATTTTCTTTTTCTTTTTTTTTTTTTTTCTTTCTTTCTTTCAGTTCTATAGATCGGTCTACATCATTGAAAATTTGTCTGGTCCTAATGAGATGATGTTGGAGCGATGGGAGGAGCTTTTTCTTAAAGTAGCTAATGATCATGCTCCTATGAGAAGGCGTAGGGTTAGACTTGGCTCACTCGTGATATAACAACTTATTATTCAAAGAAACTACTTTAAAAACGAGCAATCAGATATGGTGATCACAATTCTGAAGTGAGTATAAAAGATTTAAAAAACTCATAAATAATTCATGAAGGAAACACAATAGAAATCATGACCGTGAAGGGGGTTTTATATCTGATAAAGATTCGTCTTCATTTGCAAAAACTTTAACTTGGATTTTCTCTATCAAACTTGGTTCATCTCGTAAAGAATTCGGTACAATATGAGAACTTACATCATTTGTTTTTTAAGCCGTTTAATAAACTCGGAGATCGTGTTTTATCGGGTCTAAAACCACTCGGCTACGCCTCGTGTTTTATACCCGATAAAACACTCCTGCTCGTTTATTAAACATTACTTAGAAATGTGGTTACTAAAGAAATTAAGAAAGCTAAAGTTTCTTACTATCACTATAAAATTAAAGACAATCATGGTAATTCCAGTTCAAGGAAACACAATAGAAATCATGACCATGAAGGTGATTTTATATCTGACATAGATTCGTCTTCATTTGCATAAACTTTAACTTGGATTTTCTCTATCAAACTTGGTTCATTTCGTAAAGAATTCAGTACAATATGAGAACATACATCATCAGTTTTTGAAGCCGTTCAATAAACTCGCAGATCGTGTTTTATCAGGTCTAAAGGCACTCGGCTACGCCTCATGTTTTTAAATCCTGATAAAACACTCCTGCGAGTTTATTAAACAGTACATAGAGCACTGTGGAAAACAATAAAAAACCTCACTGGTAGAAGCAAATCTACAAGTAAATCTCTGAATTAGAAATTGATGATTGTATTGTCAATGACCTAGCAGAAGTAGTTTAGGTGATGAATAATCACTTTTCTGGAATTGGCAAGGCATTGGTCTCTAAAATGGAGAAGTAATAGATCAAAAACGAGTGCCAGTGTTTGATCAGGGCATCCAAACACCAAGAAACAGATGAAAGCACGAAGCCTTAGGCCGAGTGCTTTCATTGTTTCGAGGTGTTAGGATGCCCTGATGAAACACGAAGCACGAGTTTTTGGTCCTACTTCTAAGTCTCATCATAATTCATTTGTTCTTGAATCTCCTCAGACCAAAAAAATGAACAGTGTTTTGATCAGTGTCTTGATCCGTTCTTGATCAAGCACCAAGGTGCGTACACGTGACTACAATGCAAAATCGCCATTGGTCATTGACCTCATGAATTATTATACACTCATTCTACAATAAAAGGGTCAATTGCAAAAAGAAAAAAGATAAAAAATAAATTTCATAAGATCGCTCTCAAACCCACTGTACCTTTTTCTGATGTTGTTGAACTGTCTTTATTCAAAATTGGACGGCTCTATCTGTGCAATCTAATATACATTTAGGCACTGCCTAAAAGCGGAGCTCCCGATACGAAATTAGGGAGCCAGGGAGCCCAAATGGAATGAATCTGAAAAGTAAAAAATAAGATCGGGAAAAAATATTCAATTATTTTTATTCGAGATGAAGATAACGTATCCCATAATAAAAACCATGCATTGAAATCGAATCAAAATGCACTACTTTGTTTTCTTTGCGCGATTATACTCTCCCACTTAGGAATTTTGTACACAACTCACCCCCACCCCCAGGGGCTAGTTTTGTTCTTTGAAGATTCTTCGACAAAGTTTTCCATGGCCGACATTTTTAGGCTTTGAATCTCTTTTATTTAAAAAAAAAACGAAAGATAACTATAGATAATCCAACACAATATCAGGTTTAGTGAAATTTACCTTGGATGTCTTTCATTGAAATCGAAAATTTGGAGATTCCCGATTCTTTTGGGACAAAATAAATCAAGACTATAAAACAGACTTGAAAACTGCTTAAGGTGAGCAAAAAAATAAAATAAAAAAAAGCTTACTTACTTCTTTTACATAACGATGTTTGGTTTTCCATAGGAATTTTGATGTTTTTATATTAAATGTATTTTTAGATGAAATGAAAATAAAAAACAAATGCTTTGGTATCATCAGAGAGAAAATTGGCTGGAGATCATCACAGATGAACTAACTAAACTTGAGAAATGAAGGCCCTGAACGTTAAAACCAAATGTGTCATCAGTTAGAAAAGCTTTCTTAATATCCTAATACTTCATTAAAATAATTTTATTCCTTTCATATAAGCCTTAACTACTTTTCAAGAAATTTGAAAACTAAACTTACTAGATTTTGAGATTCTATTTTATCAGTTTTCGTCTGTTTTCATGTATGAGAAAGATATGGAAATCACGAACGACGAAAGTTTTCGAAAAACAAAGTTTATATTCAGTTATTAAACCTGACAAGAACCGACTTAGACAAAATAGAAAATAATGCAAAATGACGAATTTCTTTGTCAGTAAATTGGCATTTGTAAATGTTTTTGAATATTTTTTTAGCTTTTTAAAGTGAAAGTCTAGGTCTTTATACAATAACATATCTCAACAACACAAATTTAACCTCATTTGTATAACCATACTTGCTCGAACAGCTTTATAAACAGTTGAATATTTGGTGTAATTTTACATGTCATTCAATAATTAAATAAATTATCTGTAGAAAGGTACAAAATTATTGAATGAAAGTCTTCAACTTTGTTTTGCCTATGGGACCCACGACAGGAGACAAACAAAGCTGCATTTTTCTTGAACGAAAAACATACGATATTTGGTTAAAAACAACTGAATTGTTAATGATTTAAAAGGACGAATATTTGTTGTAATATGCTCTCCGTGTTATATTTCCTCCACATTAAAATAATTTAAGCTTATCTATAGAAATATTAAACGTTTTGAGAAAAAGTCTTTGATTTGTCAATTCGTCGAGAAAAATACTTGTCATAAAAGATAATAATATACACATTGTTTGCTAAAAAAAACACACCTGAATTCTTGAAGAACACTTCTTGATCCATCTTTGACTACATGGAAGTTGTTTTTATTTCCTGTTGGTCTATAATTTGTCATAAAGCTATTTTTTCTGTGCATTTGAGAGCCGCATTTGTGAGTAGTTTTGTTTTGACATCAAGTGGGATTCCTGTGTTGTGTAAACGGACGACGTACGTACAACGGACGGACGGACGGACGGACGGACGGACGGACGGACGGACGGACGGACGGAAGTGACGTCAGCCAAGCCATGAAAATCAACTCGATGGTTTACCATTTTTCCTTAAGTATGGTGCTCCGCGCGGGAGCTCCGCTATTAATTACCAGCAAAAGTAGTCTTTTGAGATTTTGCTGATTAAAAACATTTTAAAAATATGTACAAATATGTAGATTAACAAATATATTCATCACTAGTGCTGAAGAGATGATTTATTTAATTATTGAATGAAAAATCAATTTACACCAAATATTCAACTGTTTATTAAGCTGTTCGAGCAAGTATGATTATAAAAATGAGCTTAAAGTTGTGTTGTTGAGAGATGTTATTGTCATAGACCTAGACTTTCACTTTAAAAAGCTAAAAAATATTTTCAAACGCCAATTTACTGACAAGAAATTCATCATTTTGTATTTTGAATTGCCTTTTGCATTATTTTCTATTTTGCCTCAGTTGTTCTTGTCAAGCTTAACTGAATGTAAACTTCGTCTCGTTCTGTAATAGGCGTAATTAAGTAAGCTTATTTTCTGATTTGTCCTTAATGTCCAGATTTTTGATTTCAATGAAAGACATCCGAGGTAAATTTCACTAAACTTCACATTGTATTGGATTATCTGTAGTTAGCTTTCGTTTTTTTAAGTAAAAGAGATTCAAAGCCTATACTAAAACTGTTGGCCTTGGAAAACTTTGTCGAAGAATCTTCCAAGAACAAAACTAGCCCCTGGGGGTGGTGGTGAGTTGTGTACAAAATTCTTAAGTGGGAGAGTATACTCGCGCAAAAAAACAACAACAAACAAACAATGTAGTGCATTTCGATTCAATTTCACTGCATGTTTTTTATTATGGGAGAAATTATCTTCATCTCGAATAAAAAGTAATTGAAGATTTTTTGCGCGATCTTATTTTTGTGCTGGGCCTATGGGCACAGTACATTTGTTTTTGGTGAGTTAGGTATGATCGGAATTTAGTGTTACGAATGCCATTGGTGGACCAAGTCATGATTGACTTTGGTGAAACACGATGTAAAAATACACGTTGAGATCTGTAAGATCGGGACACGGAGGAGGTAAAAGAGGTTGAACATATGTGGTTTTCGTGGTAAGAGTGCCTTAATCCAACTTACTTTAAACTTAATTTGGTAGTTCTAAGCAGATAATTAGAAACTGGAGCTAAATTAGAAACTTTAAGTGCGATTTTTGTTATTTGATACAACTCGAATTAGTTACGTAAACAAAAGATTGTAAATGGACAGGCCAGGAATTTCTACTGCGTCATTGATGTAAAATAGTACTCGAGTTTTATATTTTTTTATTAGCAAGAAAAATGATATTTGGTTTGATTAGCAAAACATATTTATTTCTAGTCGAATATTTTTATGACAAAAACGTATTTCATGCCGTAAGCTTGAATGGGGGCGGGCCAGGAATTTCTACTGCGTCATTGATCTAAAATAGTACTATTGGTATTTACTAAAACAAGGAACGACCTAAAACCACCTGAAACCACCTGAAATCACCTAAAACGACCTGAAACCATCTTGAAAGCACCTGAAACCAGCCAAAACATTGAATCTCCATCGAGTTTGTCGTCCAGTTTGTGTATTTTATTGACTTTTATCGATCGATCGTTTGTTTTCCTTTGAAGGGATGTACTTCATGGTAGAATGTCATATAGTCGCTCATACGTATAGTCTCCCATAGAAGTATCCCACACTTATACCTCACCTCTCCCTTGCTATGACTGACCTGTTTCTAGCTATGATCAACCGTCCCTACCTATGATCAACTGTTCCTAGCTATGATCAGCTGTCACTAGCTAAACTGTTTTGGTTAGCTAAACGTATCTATTTCTAGTCGAATATTTTTATGAAAAAGGGATTTTCATGCCGAAACCTTCAACGAGTGGGTGGACGAGGAATTTACTGCGTCATAATTTACATAAAAGAGTACTCACACGAGTTTTATATTAGTTTATTTATAGTTCCTTTCACGGTTTCCGACGCCATATTGTTTTGGGGGCAAATTTACTAAGAAGCGTAGGGAAAGAGATACGTTTTTCGTAATATCTCCATTCTGAGGTTATACCCTGCGAGCAAAGTCTCCTTTACCTTCCCCCGAGTGAGAGAAAGGAAAGAGTCTTCTTTCCTTTCTCTCACTCGGGGCAAGGTAAAGGAGACTCTGCTCGCAGGGTATTCTGAGGTAAATTTTCGAGACCAAACTCTTTCTGTAGATGGAGAATCTTCTGTTCAATAATGTTTTGTGTGGTGTTTTTGAGGCGATGAAGCCACCATATAACACTGGTTCTCAGAGAGACGGAGACTTGCTTTGGGGTTTGCGACCAAGACTCGTTTATGCTGGTTCAGTTTGACCGGAAAAAATATATTCAAACCGAATCCACGGACTTTCTTCTGTCTTACAATGACTAAATCCCAAATAGTCTTCTACTCTATTCAAAGTATCCAATGTGCCCAGCACATTTGACACGTTTTCCCGTGTCAAAACTTGTTACCTTTCAGTTTCATTCAAATTGTTCTCCCTGTAACTTCCGTATGGCGAGCTCCGCTTTTAGGCAGTGCCTAAATATATATTTCAAATACTAGTGATGAAAATGGTTTTTCATTAAGTTTCAAAAACCATCCACGTGATCCGAAAAGTGGCCATCCATTGGTTGCTGAGCTTATGAATCATTAATGAATTTGTAATCAAGACTTGATATTTAAATTATTCAATCCCCTATCTCATATTTCAAATCGTTCCAGCTTTGCGTTGAGCCAGTTGGGACTCGTACGACACCTCAGTCAGTGATACAAGTTTGAAAATCCAAGCTTAAGTAGAGAATATCCAATTGTAAACATGGATCTAACCTTGTTTTTCTATGTAACGTTGATAATTCTCATCTTGAAAGCAGATAAGACAGGTAAGCTTTGAACTTATTTTTTTTTAAAGTTTGTTCTGTAGACTATGAAATTTTTGTTGTAATAAAAAAGAAATTAAACTATCGGTATTCACCGCCATCTATACAGCTGTGGCGCATTATTGCTTATATAAAGAAGAACCAAGTTGGTTATGAAAAGTTATAAAGATATCTTATCTTTATTCTTTATTCTTTATTACCTCAATCGTTACTATTTCAGTTAACAGGAATATCATATTTTATGAATGAAAGGTGTCTCTTTTTTTCTGCATGTGGAGAAAGTTTTAATAATAACAATTTGCACGATCTACTTTTTTTTTATTGTTAAGTTTTAAGCTCCTTATAGCTTTCAAAATCTAGTTCACTTATTCAGTAATTAGAAATCATGTTTTATTTAGAGGAAAAACATTGTCAAATTTGTTTTAAAAAAGCAATTTTTCAACAAAAGTTTGAAGAAATTCACAGATTACGTTTTTAAATCATTTTTTAACATCAGAAAAAATCTGTTAACATTTGGTCAGCTACGATTTTAAGCTCACGCCCCCTTACCACAGTTTTTGGATTTTTTAGCAAAATAATGACTATCTAGGCAAAAAAACGAAAGTGGATTCAGTTCATTCAAATATTCTTTTAAGCACGACCTTTTGCTTTGAAAAGAGAGGAAAGTGACAGAAAAGAGCAAATATTCCAAATGTATGGCCAATTTTTTCCAATGATATTTGGCTTTATTTTGTCCCATTTCTTTTAATTTCTCCTTCTAGAAAAAGAAATAAACTATTATTCTACGGTCAATGTAAGATATTTGGATACAATGTTGTCACTGACTTTATTCAATTTTTTGTATTTCCATGGTTTCCAATATTTATTTACAGACACCCCGGGTACGGTGGCCCACAACTGTCATTTGGCAAAACTAAAAAACTAAAACTAACTCACGGCAAAGCAATATTACACTCTTAGTTTTGCTATGTGTTTTCTTAGTTTTGCTGAGAGTTTTCTTGTTTTGCCGTGAGTTTTCTTTGTTTTGCTAGAAGTTTTCTTGTTTAATTTTGCCGTGACGACTGTGGGCCACCGTACCCCGGCCAGACTGTTTCTTTCTTCTTTTTTAATTGATTCTGAAACAAGAGAAGAGAGTCTCTCCTCGAGATATCGGATTTTAAAACATTTTTAACAAGCAGCGAAGGGAAAATCTTACCATATTTTTTGTGAACAATTTAAACTTTAGATAATTCAATCCGAGCAAAATAACCTTCTTTACGTAACATTATTTGCATATCTAAGAATTTACGAAGAATAAAAACAAAACACTAATAATTTAGACTTTATCAAAAACCTGATTCTGCTCTTTTCTGATTGGCTAAAGTTTTGACTTAAGATCATGATTGGTTAACTTTGCAAAAGTGGTCCTGCTTAAACCATGCCTAACTTACCAATCAAATTGAGTTTTTTTAATTGGATTTTGAACTTTTCTTCAATTTTAAGTCAACTTTCATTGTAGGAGTAAATGAAATAAGACAAATTACTTTTAACCCGCTGAGATTTTAGCTTCTGCACAATTGCTAAATGGATAAACAGTGAAGTTTACTTTAAATAGGTACACTATGAACCGCTATCCAGACAGGTGATTCTACTTCTCTCGGCCAGAACGAATTAGCCAATCAGCGAACGCCTGTATTTCCTAGTTCCAGGTTTTCTTGTTTGATTTTACCGTGACAGCTGTGGGCCACCGTACTTTAAAGAATAACACTGAATCAACTTTTTAGAAAAAGAAAGAAACAGTCTGGCCGGGGTACGGTGGTCCAAAGCTGTCAAAAGCTTCACAACTGAAACAAGAGAAGAGAGTCTCTCCTCAAGATCGGATTTTAAAACATTTCTAACGAGCAACAAAGCGATAATCTTACCATATCTCTTATGAACAATTCAAACGTTAGATAATTAATTTCGAGCAAAATAACCTTCTTGACGGAACATTATTTACATATCTAAAAATTTATGATATAGCTAATTAGTGAGAAGGCTGTCAATTATGATTTAAGTGATAATAAAAGCATTTTGTGACTCTTAATTTGTGTCTTGACCAGTGTTTTAATCAGTATCTTAATTAGTAATTTGATCAGTGTCTTAATCCATTTTTGATCAAGTATCAAGGCGCGTACAGGTGACTACAATGCTAAGTCGCCATTGGTCATTTACTTTATGAATTATTAATGAGTTTCAGAATAATGGCAACAAAAAGATCGGTCTAAATAAAGCTAATTTATTATGACGTTTCTATACATCGAAGCTCTGCTTTTAAGGTAAGCAAGGGAGGAAGCAATAGCAGTTTTAATTGATTGCCAGCAAGAAATCTATTGGATAATTCAATCTAACAATTATTCAAACAAATTATTCCAAAAGATATTCAAATGCTAAGCACATTAATAGCGGAGCAACATTCTTAAGAAAAATTGGTAACCCATCAAGCTCATTTTTCATGACTTTATTACGTCATTTTCGTTCGTACTCACGTACATAGTCCGTACGTCCGTGTACAGACCACAGGTTTCCTTGTTCATGTCAAGGCAAAATTAGCTGCAAATGCACAGAAAAAATCGCGAGCGAGAGCCGAAGTCGCAAGTAGGAGGACTTGTTTCTTTGCAGTGATTCGATTTCCGTTTCGCCGTTGACTGTTTGATATAATTTATTCGTGGGCTAGAATTCCGGTCATATCACGGGCTCGTTATCAGCGGCTTAGGTTTGCAAAACATGAAACTATAAGCGCCAAAACACGTTAAATAAGGCTCGTTTTGTGCATTAAACACCATTTTATTTTCAAATAAATACCATTCTGTGTGTTTTGAGTGTATTTAGAAATCAATATCGTCGAACAGACGTTTTAGAAGCAAAACTCTTACTCGAATCGAATAACGCCACAGTGAGCCAAAGAGCTCCAAGGCCCGCACTTTTTTAAAACTCAAAATCACTAGCTATGGTATTCCTTTGCTAAAAACTATCCCATGATTCTTTGAAGCTGGATGTGAGCTTTGTTTTGGTATCATATATGGCAGCGAATTTGAGAGAATCGCAGTTTTAATGGCAAATATTTTGCTATTGTCGGCCTTTAGACGGCAAATTGATTTGTACTTTTCCTCTTCTTTCACCTTCAAGATGGACGGTCTTAATAGCCTTGGATTTAGACGAAAATTGTTGTGTGTATTGCATATCGTGTTCACTTTTGAGAAACGAACTTGGCAAATTTACTTTCGCTCGAAGATAATGAACCGGTAACAGTTAAAGTTGAGGACTCGTGAGCTTCTTTGTGTTTTTACAAGAGGAGGAAAACAGCGGAATCGCGCCAAAATTTGGATTTGAATAAAAGACATTCAAGGTAAATATCACTAAACCTGATATTGTAAAGGATTATCTGTGGTTAGATTTCGATTTCCTTCTCAAGTAAAAATGTCGACTTTTAAAACTTTTTGAAAAACGTTTTCAAGAACAAAAGTGCTCCCTGGGGTAAATGGTTTGTGGTGGGTTGTGTAGACATGACAAAAATTACTAAGTAGGATAGTAGTAAACAAAAAAAAAAACAAAGACTAGCGCTTAAAAAGTCTGTTGTGCAATTTGATTATTTTTTCCCGCTGTTTTTCATTATGAATGACATCATATGTGAATCAAAAATAATGATAAGTCGATTTTTCCCGATTTTATTTTCGCCTTTCAGATTTATCTAAATTGGCATCGATCCCTGTAAATAAAACGGTGGTACTTTTAGTTTAGTATTTAGTCAACTTGGTTATTTGATAACTGGTTGAATAGACTGGTTTATTTTCCTTGGGAACCTTGCTCCACCAAGTCAGTTTTTGTTATGTTATTTATTATTCACTATTCCTAAACTCACTCAAAAACTGACAAAGATGAAAGTCAAATTAAACTCAAAGTACCGTCATCGCCTTTATGCCGGTTACATTGAAGCAAACATTTTACATTGGTTTCTTTTCACGTCATATCGTACCAATTAAAAAATACAATAGTGGTGTTTTTTTTTTTTTTTTTTTTTTTTTTTTTTCCTTCACACCTTCTTCAGCTTCAATGCAGTCCTCAGAAATAATGAATATTAATTATTCATTAATCTTTAGTTTCGCAGTGTAAACCAAAGAGGAAGGAGTTTGACAAGGAATTTTCGGACCTTACACTCACCAGTAAAATACTTGGCTCATTAAACACAAAAGAAGTAATCTGTCAGTACAGCTGTCACTCTCATGAGAACTGTGATGCTTATAATTATAACTTGGATGATGGTCGTGGTGAAGTACTCGACGCTCGTTCTTCTTTTTTTAATGTAGTTATGAGAAAAGGCTGGATATTCAGGGCCTCGAAGGTAATCATACATCTTTCCGTCCATCCATCCATCCATCCATCCATCCGATCTATCTATTCATCCATTCAAGCATCTATTCATATACATYTATCTCCCTATCCACTTTCATCTAATCTATCCCACTCATCATCTATTTGTTCATCCTATCCATCATAGTGAACTAACATTTGGTCCATTAATCGGTTCATTATTTTTTTACAGTGTGAATCAGATCCGTGTCTTAATGGAGGTACGTGTTTCCATGCAATTGGAAAAGATAGATGTCTGTGTCCCTGTCAGTGGAAAGGAAAGTCGTGTGATGTACCCAGTAAGTATTTAGTTAGATATAAATGTCGGTGTCCCTATGAATGGAAAGGAGAGTTGTGTGATGTACCCCATAAGTATTTAGATACATATATATATCTGTGTCCATCTTTCTTTATATACTTTTTCTTTTTGTCTAGTAACTAACTCTGATTACGTGATGTCCTTTCCCGGAGGATCAGTTAATGACTTGGTTGTCTTTGAAAATCCCTTTCCGGTTAGTTTGAGTATGCTGTCTGTCAGCATGTGGTTTCAGATAGATCCTGCAAAAGATGGACAGCATGCATTGCTGAGCTACGCAACTTCGACAAAAGCGGACACGATTCTTGCGAAGTTAAAGCCAACCCTAACACAGATATGCATTTACAACGACTGGGGGTAAGAACATTTTTGAGCCTAAAATTATTTTATCTCGGTCCATTCTTCAAGCGTTCCATTCACAATTATTGCTTACTAGCTACCATTTTTTGTAGACTTGACTTTTTTCAAGTTGTCATCAGAGGTGGACAGCGAGTTTTTCGTCAACCTTTTATTCTCTTTAGTTTGTTCGCTTTAAGAGTTATGAAAAGACCCTGGTTGGGGCCGCTCATGTGCATTGAGATTTCCATACGGCTTTCATAGTATATCGTATATGATGGTAATTGAACTGAGTGGAGTGCAATTTGGTCTGAAATCAAACGCGCGATTACAAAATCACACGACCGCGTAGCGAGAGTGTGATTTGTAATTGCAAGTTTGATTTCAGACTAAAATTGCACGACACGAAATTCAATAACCACTTAATCATATCCTTTTTGTAATCATACATAAGAAAAAGGCACAAGAAAGAGTGCAGAATAATCAGTTTAATGTAGTAGAAGAACTAAATGCGAACAAAAAAATCATCTAAAAAAAACTTTTTTTTTTAATTTTTTTGTTTTATTTTATTGTTTAAAAAAATGTTTTCTTTAGAATGCGATTAAGAGCTGCTAAGGATGCGATTTGGGAATTAATCGCACTCCTTTGAACCAATCAGATTGCAGTATTTGGTAGTGATAACAAAAAGGATGTGATTAATATCGTAATCGTGTCTTTCAGTGAAAAGGCGAAGTATACATATCCAAATCAGTTGATAACTAATAACACCTGGCATCATCTTGCTTTCACTTGGGAAAGTGTAACAGGTAACGTTGTACTGTATATCAATGGAGTCAAGAGAGGCGAGAAAGCCAACGTGGCAACAGGTGAGACGATTGGCAACGGGGCCTTAGTACTTGGCCAGGATCAAGATAGCTACAAAGGAGGCTATGATCCAAATCAAGCTTTTAAAGGCAATCTCACAAGCTTGAACATGTGGAACAGGGTCCTGACAGCCTCTGAAATATCAGATCTCGCCAGAAAATGTCCAACTCAGGAAGGAAACATTCTAACTTGGACTAAGTTGATGAGTCAGCCAAGGTTAGGAAACGTGAATCTGATCTGCTCTACTTTCTGTGTTCCACAATAAAATGCCAAGATTGGACAAAATAGTAAATTATTAGGAAGGAAGGTTGAATAGGTGGACCTGGTGTAACAGAAAGCAGTCTTAAAAATCAACAAATATACTTTTGTTTGCTTTAGATATTACATTTACAACGTGCAATTAACTTACTATATACAATAATATAATTTAATTCATTATAAATAAACATAATCGTGTTTTACCACTTTAGGCCAAATGTTTTTCCTCGTGGCAGCATTGCTCTTTTTTTTGTATTGTATTTCATTTTCTGTATTTTTTTTTTTTTTTTTTTTTTTTTTTTTGTAAGGACCAAGTTAGCTACAGAGGAGGATTTAATGCAGCGCAAACTTTTAATGGCAATCTCACAAACTTGAACATATGGGACAAGGTCCTGACGGCCTCTGAAATATCTGATCTCGCCAGCAAATGTCCAACTCAGGAAGGAAACCTCCTAACTTGGACTAAGTTGATGAGTCAGCAGAAATTAGGAAATGTGAATTTGATCTGCTCTCCTTTCTGTGCTCCCATTTGGCCATGACCAACGAGGGTACATCGGGATGTAAGGACCCGACCTGATTCGACGTACGGCCTTTTGGTTTATTATGTAGTGAATTCCTTGAAATACAAATAGTGTCAGTGAAAGGTAATGCTACTAAATACGAGAAGCTTACAATACTTACAGGTGAAGGTCGTCCAAAAAGAGAAATGTAATCTAACTAGATTCCATCGAAAAATAACGTTCACACTCTCACCACGACAGGCAAAGTAACTCTGTGCCAGCACTTAGAAATCTAATTATGTGCATGTTAATGTTCCCAAAGGAAAACGGATTAATTGAGTCTAAAAAATGTCTAACATATTCACGCACGCACGGAAACAAAGAAAGGAAAAAAATATTGTTGAGTAGCCTCAACAGGGAGCTAGTATATAGAATGGGGGTTCTACGCCGGGTAGATCGTGGATCAACCCAACACTCTTTGTGGCAACGTCATACCTCTTCGGATAGGTCACATCTATTGTTTAGAATGACCCCCTATCATGACGTCATAGTTCCTTACAGCCAATCAGCGGTGTTGCGGAAATTCCGGTGCCACCTCTCGGCTCTCTTCGGGAAGGTCATATCTATATTTAGAATTATGACCAATCAGCGACCACTTTGGAAACTCCGGAGTGATCCCACTTAATCCCACGTATTACCAACATCGCTCCTATGTCTCCCGCTAAGGATGGTTTATCTACCGATCACGACCTCCTAGAATTCGATGTCATCGCCCACCACCATTGCATTAGTAAGCCTCCAAGGTCAGTTTATAATTTCAAAGCAGCTGATCTCGATTCTCTGAGGTCGGAAATTCAAGTGAACAGTATTATTAAAGTAGTATATGGAATGGGGGTTCCAGCGCAATCTCAACACGGGCAAGATCCGTGTGAAAAATCCACCTACGGACGACCCCCCACTCCAAGTGTGGTTGAGGGCAACAGCGCACTTAAATATGTTAGTCTATATATGGAGTGCGAAGAATGTAAGAGAACTTTTAAGAAAGAAGCGGATTTGAAAAAGCATTTGAAAATGAAGACGAAGT